ACAGCAAAGTAGAGAATTGAACCAAGGCCTCAAACCCTAGTATGGTGCTCATCTACTAAGAGCCAGCCTCCACAAGCCATCTTTTGCTCAATAATTCTTTATTCTACAAACTGGCCTTCCGCAACATAACTATATTTTCCATACTTGAAGGCAATAAGAACTACAAACATTCCTATTTTAGATCAACCCAAGTAAGTTCACTAAGGGCATTAATTAATCAGCATTTCTTCCACGTAACCAGCTTTTAGAATAAGCTTACTGACCAACAAAGCTTACCTGAGTTTTATGATGCAGCTTTTGGTATTTCTTTTAAATCAAGTTCTAAATACCTTCCTCACTCATGGTGTATAAGATCATGCTAAAACACTTAAAATAACATGTTTAAAATTCATCTCAGATCATTAGAACAGATAAACTGTTCAAAAAAAAGTTTCATTCATATCTGAAAAAGTAGCACCCAGAACTGTATTTAGCTGAAACATAAAATGAAAATACCTAAACCGACTACTGCTAGAAACAGCACATCAGATACAGAAGAAACCAAATCACATACCTTCTTTACCAACACTTTCACAAACAAGAGCTAGAAAAATAAGAACCTACACAAGTAATTTCCTCTTATCGCCCTATGAATCAAAACATAAAGTGGATTCCAAGGGCAGGTGCCAGGGACAGTACCACCCCTCACAGGTACTACGTGCTCCCCACTCCCATCAGTTGGGCCCTGCTAGTACACAGTAGGAGGAAAAACAGACTTGAAAAAGACTGGGAAGAAAGCAATTCCTAGTGCTCCGTGCCAGTTTCCACCAGGAAATCCGACCAGAGTCAGGAGAAACACACCCCGGGCTCAGCTCTGCTCCCCAGCCGGCTGCTCGGCGCTGCTTGCCTTTGGCAACGCCGTTCTCTACGCGCTGCTCCTGCTCTGCCCCGCACAAGACGTTACACACTCCTCTGCCCGCACACACAGTAAGAGACTACTCCTAGAAGAGACGGACACGTTTATGACCGGGGTTATCACACACGCACGCACCCCCCGCACTCCTCA